GTTGTTGTGTGTGTCGTGCGTTGTTGTGTGTGTGTGTGTGTGTGTGTGTGTGTGTGTGTGTGTGCGCGCGCGCGCGCGTGTGTGTGTGTGTGTGTGTGTGTGTGTGTGTGTGTGTGTGTGTGTGTGTGTGTGTGTGTGTGTTCGTGATGTAAGCAATATATGGTTGTCGGATATATAGTAAGCCTTAAAAATTGCACCTCAGACGAACCTTTCGGCATATGATATGCTGTGGCCTAGTTGAAATCTCATGGCTCAAGGAACGCACGCACGATACCGATTGTAAACGGTATCGTTGGTCTTGTCTTGGTCTTGTTTTTGGACTTGTATCATCTGGTCTTGCCTTGTTTTGGTTTAGATCTTGATTTAGTCTTGTCTCCGGTCTCCTTTAGTAATAAACTCATAATAGTTGCTGGACTGTGCACTCCATGGTTCTCGCACAAAGAACACTCGATACAAGTGATGAATGTCGTTACATATCAATTAGACAGGGCGCGTTTGTTTAAAGAAGATGAACTCACTCAGGAATATGAATTTCAAGGCCTTCATACATCTCTCGGCAGGTGTGGTGATGGAAATGTAATCTCGCGGTAAGACATACATATAGATACGTATCGCTGCTATTTGTGTACACAAGAGCCATGGATGCGTGAGCAGCATGCATAATCATAAAACCTGAACTAACAGATTGATGAGTTTTTTTTTATATGGGCAGTGTTAAGCTGACGTCAGAGAGGGCCTACTGCAACCTTCGATAATCGTAACGTTTTGAATGCCGACAGGTGGCGCTGAGTCAGATTTCGGCGCAGACGACGCCCGAACACTTTCTCATCATCGACCAGCACAACATGAACGCCGTCGCTTGCCGCCTGAAGGGCCAGTCCGCCAATGACGTCACGTACGGGCAGCTGAAGGTAAAACCACCCCCTCCACCACGCTGATACTGATGACGTCATGAAGATGACGTTTCATCGAATAATACCCTGATATGGGAAGTGCTCGCGCGCGGTGTAGAACAGCGATCGCGCGAGGTACGGCTTTGCGAGGGTGCCGCGCGTTATTCTCTTAATTTTACGTTTCCGCTGCGCGGCCGCTTGCTTATTACGACGGCGCGCGTAGTTGTGAAATGTGCAACCGGGCGATTTCGACGTGCAAAGGACGACGATGTATTCACCATCAAACGTGTCCGGTGTCGCGCGAGTCCTTGTCCGCCTCGCCGATCACCGAGGCGTCATTAACGTGGCGTAGTCAACGTGACAGGTAAACGGGCAAGGTCGTAAGGTTGCCGCTAGCGCGAGATCGTCTGCTTTCATGATTACAGCGAGAGTGTTCGGCGCGTTACGGCTGTGTATACTCGCTAGGCGACCGAGCGGAGTAATACAGGCATGGGAAGGTTTCAATAGTAAATAAACACGAAATGTATTTACTATACCACAGTCTTAATGGTTACCAACTATTGGTAATAGAGTCCCGCATATGCACATCAGACGCTCCTCTGAAACGCACAATTTTACCGCACGCATGCCACTGTACACAAACACATTGATTTCTCTCATAATACTGTTTCTGTGAGTTTGTGCACTGTGGTGTGCGTGCGGTAAAATTCTGTGTTGCAGAGGAGCATTTGAACGCCATTTACGTGGAATTATTAGTTGATGATAAAGACTACATAAACATCGAGACTTTGGTAGTGAAAACATTTCGTTTTTATTTACCATTATTTTATTATGGAAACGTTCCCTGCGCCCCGTGACGTTACTTAGGGAGGCGCGAGTCACATCGACGGCTTTCGTACTGAAAAGTACGCAGTCGAGTATCGAATTGTATCGCCGCGTGAACAGCGCTGATAATCTGCTTCCAGGTGGTGCAGTTGTGCGACGGAGTCGACGACTGTCTAGGCGGCGCTGACGAGCAGCCGCGAGCGTGCAACTTCAAAGAGAGAGCGACGATGATGAAGAAGGTAAGAACATAAGAACATCGCTGTACTCTTCCCACCCGCGGTCCAAACCATGCACCGACTATAACCGCCAGTAGCCCGTACAGTTTGTGAGCATCTCGCATAGCTATCGCGTGGTCGCAGTATCCAACCCCCACCATCCGAGCTACGTAAACATTCCGCATCATCAGTCGGTAGTTTACATGCCGTAGCACCTCGCACTTAACACCGTTTCTTTTCACGCGCGCGACGAACGCCGTTCGCGTGACGATGGGAATTGCTGACGCTACACGGTCGTATACGCCGGGCCCCCGCGAGCCCACAGGCTAGTGCTAATTGCACGGTAGCAATGAGAGTAGCGCGTTGACACTCACTGCCGCGCGCACGCTTGCTGCTTATATATCTATCTATATCTATCTATATATATATATATATGCCGTCATAACCGCCTCTATTTCATACACGACAAGAGAAGTCTCTTCTCTCTCTCCCTGCCCGAGGGAGGGTCAACCTTCTCCCTCCGTGCCCGAAGGAGATTCAACCTTTTCCCTCCGTGCCCGAGGGAGGGTCAACTTTCTCCCTCTGTGCCCGAGGGATGGTCAACCTTCTCTCTTCGTGCGCAAAGGAGGGGTCTCATGCTCCGTTGCATGTTTGCGCCACAACTCCATGAGTTTTATATCAGTTCAACTAAAGCTGCTATATATGCTCGATAACACAATTGTAATCAACGATGTAGAATTCGAGCCACGTACCTGCCGCTTCCTTCATTAAAAATAAATGACAAATATAGATGAAACAAATAAATAAATATCTCCCCTCTCTTTGCACACAGACATAGGTGGCGCCACCATATGTGGCACGCACGTCGGTTATACAGGGGGCGGCGCACTGCCCCCTAGTGGGGGAAGCGAGCAGCAGTGTTTCGTCGGTGGAGCGAGAGATTTGCTAGGATAGCTGTTGCTGCTGGGTGTGTGTGTGTGT